CTCCTGCCCCAGCCTCCAGAATAGCTGAACAATAGGGGCAAGCTACTGTGCTTGGCCCTGGGGAGGGGTTTATATCATGTTAAGTCGTTCAGTTCTGTTTATCCAATTATCCACAAACACCTTAAACTTTCAACATTACTAAATTTGATGAGTGATATGCACATTTCCTAAAAAGATACCAACATCTGAATCCTTTGTAATCTTCTAAACAAAGCCATACTTCATACATACAGTAACTAGGAAAAATCTTATCTCTATAAAGATCAAAGCCCAAAAACTACTTAGAATGTGTATATTTTGCTAAATAGCTTATTTATGCTTATAGTTGCTACTTACAAAAGTAACACCAGAAAAGCTATATTGTGAATACAGTGACCAGATGGAATGTCTATAGCCCTTAACAATACGCCAAACTGAATCATGTGCTTATTGAAAAGGACTTCCAAACATTTCAGCCTTCTGGTTGATGAATCAGCAGCTGGCGCTGTCTCTCTCTCTCATTTTTTCAATGCTGTCTTCTTTGAATTCTGGTTTAGTTTCACCTTCATCGTGCTTGCATAGAGCTGGATCTTTCTCTGCGACTTGGTCTTTGGTTTGGGGTTCATGTGTGGAAACAGGATGTAAAGCTACAATTGGTTCAGGTTTTGTTTCACTGCCAATGTGTATTTTCTCCTGTATCCAGTGTTACTGGGAGGCTGAAACATAACCTTGGAACTTGTGCATCCTTCCAATTTACGGGACCCTTCACCTGGCTCAGGTGTGAGGGGGGACCGGCTGTTGAATTCTGCCTCCAGAGTGTTCTTGTTCAAGGCTGTTTTTGTTACAGTGGATACAGAACCCAACACTGGCATGGATTTGGACTCTGAGGTGACTAATATCCCAGTTGGACTACTGCTATCTGCTTCTGCTGTCACCTTTCTGCGTTGCAAAATCCTTTCTAACTCAGTTTCACTGTTTTCAGGGTCAAGAGATTTTAAGCTTCTTGAACTAGTGGATTTAAGTGTCCCCAGTATTCCTTTTAGTTCATTCACTGCACTTTCAGAGCCCTTTGAAGATTCTAGCTTTGCTTTCAGTCTGGCTGTCTGATTAACTGGTCTAAGATGAACTCCCTTCTTAATTCTATCCATCATCTCAATAGCTTGCCTCTTTAGATCTGTGACTTCCTCAGTTGTTTCTGGTTCAATTGCCTTTTCTTTTTTAGCACCACTGCCACTGGGGTGGGATGGCTTCCGGATCATAGACATGAGGGATCTGATAGGATTGGAGGGGGAAGAGGTGGTGGAGGTGGAGGTGGAGGAGGTACTGAATTCTCGGACTGGTTCACTCATTTCTGGAGCTCATCAACAGAATGCTTTAAATTTCGGCCTTCTCTTCAGAATTCTGGTATTTCAATTCCAAATCCTTCTTATCCTCTTCTAAAAGCTCCAGTTGCTGTTTGAGGTTATATATCTCTTTGTGCAGTGCTTCATTTTCTAGTTACTCCTCTAATTCTTTGACCTTTTGCTGATGCTGAATTCTCTCTTCTTCAAGTTGTTGGATGAGTTTTGCATTTTCATCTAAAGCTTTCAAAAGCTTCTGGTCAGGGACAGTGCTCAGTAGCAGAAGGTGGCTTTGTCTCTTTAGCTTGTTTTGTTTTATGAACATCTCTTGTGCAAACGACTGTTTGTTTCGAAGGTCCTTCTCCAACTCCAGGTTTACTTGCATCTCCTCATATTCCTCTACTGCCAACATGGACACTCGGTTGCATTTTTCTAAGACTTTTCTCTGTTCAAGAACTTCAGCATATAAAACAGCCTTGTCTTGTTTAACTTTATTTACTTTTTCAATTACTTCCACCAGTTTGCTCTTGAGATTTTCCAGCTCAATGGCTAATATCTTCTTTTCCTCCTGAACAGATACAATTTGATCTTGAAGTTCTTTGTTCTGCTTCTGACGCTGTACTGAGATACAAGTCTCAGCAGCACCATCTGTGTCTGTGGTAACATCTTCATCATCAGTGTTTATCTCCTCCGTTATTACATCTGATCCCAGCTTGGCCATGTATAACATGCTGATTCTCTTCAGTGTTTTATTTTCTTTATTTAGCTTTGTTGCCAAAGCTTCGGCACTTTCTTGACAAGTCTTCTCTATTTCAAGATGGTTTTGCATGAAATTAACTTCCTCTATAACCATGTGAGAAATTTTCTGAAATTCTTCCAGTTTTTTAACGGCCTCATCTCATTTTTGCCTAATTTTGTCACACTTCTCCTTTGTTTTCTGGTTCTCTGCTCTAAGGTCTTCATATTCACTATAGCTTGCTCCTTCAGGCTGGTGATGAGCTGCAGCTGCTTCTCCTCGTCCGAGCTATTCATTTTGGCAGGTGGGGGTGGGAATAAAAGGAAAAGAGGGAGCTGCGAGGGGGACATGGGGGAGGGGGCTGCTTCTGATTATGAAGGTGATAATATTCATTACTGAAGCACTGGCAAATAAAAAAAGGGCAAAGAGTCAGCACCAATCCA